CTAGGAAACCATAAAGCTCTAGCATCCCCTCTATTTGCAAAGAAGCAATGTTAACACTCAGAGAAGTCAGGTAATGGGCCGAGATCACCCAGCTGGTCAGATGGATGTAGAACCCAGGTTCCTTGAGGTCCTTTCCTGGGGTGAGACAAGGCAGCCATGGGATTGTTGTAAAAATCGACATTTCTATGTTCTCTTTATTAGGGAGCAGATTGTAGGACATAACCCTCTGGGACACCTGAGGCTTTTAGCTCTTGTTGCTGAGCGCTAATAATCTCTTCTGGATGCTGGGCAGTGGTGGCGCACGCCTTTAATCCCAGCACTTGAAAGGCAGAGGCAGGCGGATTTCTGAGTTCAAGGCCAGCCTGGTCTACAGAGTGAGTTCCAGGACAGCCAGGGCTACACAGAGAAACCCTCTCAAAAAACCTTAAAAAAAAAAATCTCTTCTGGAAAATGGGGAGATGGATGGGAATAGCTAGCAACCTCTGACTGCAGCTGGAGTTTGGTTGAAGCAGACAGGTGATTGATTGGTGGTGATGTGAGAAGGATTTCCCACGATTGTGATGCCAAGATGGAATCATTCCCAGTTTCCTCTGAAAAGAGCCTTCACCTTCAAAAAATGCTCCTTACCGGGCTGGAGAGATGGCTCAGTGGTTAAGAGCACTGACTGCTCTTCCACAGGTCCTGAATTCAATTCCCAGCAACCACACAGTGTCTCACAACCATCTGTAACAGGATCCAACGCCCTCTTCTGGTGTGTCTGAAGAAAGTGACAGTGTACTGAGTACTCACATACATACAATCATACAATAAATAAATAAATAAATAAATAAATAAATAAATATTAAAACAAAAAAGAAAAACGAAAAACAGAACCACTGCAAATAGGGGAAAAAAAAAAAGAGTATTCTTTACCTTAACATAGCAAGGGGCAACTTAGCCATATGGTAACCTTGAGCTCAGAAAACCTTGCTTTTCAAGTCTGGATGGCAAACTGGGGCAAAGGGCTTGTCTGCATCCCAGACCTGCCGCGTGTGCTCAGAGGGTTAGACTAGGATTAAGCAGCCATCTCGTGTGCTTAGAAGCTTCTAGAGCCCAGAGATCACAGAGTAGCTGGAGACTTTGGGCACGTCAGTGGCACTAGGTGGCTTTCTATCTATCACATCTATCCAGATGAGGAGGGCTATGCTTTGCCCTGGTTGTCTGATGATTAGAAATCAGGAAAGAAAAAGAAAAGGAAAAAAAATCAGGAAAAGCCTAATTCTGCTTCCTTCAGGTGTTAGAGCTGATCTCTCTCTCTCTCTCTCTCTCTCTCTCTCTCTCTCTCTCTCTCTCTGTCTGTCTCTCTGTGTGTGTGTCTGTCTGTCTGTCTGTCTCTCTCTGTTTCTCTCTCTGTCTCTCTCGCTCTTGTTTTTTCTTTGTGGGCCTGGGATTCTGGGTAGTTGCTGACCCACTTGGCAATCTTACTTTTCTTGCACCTGGCCAGACACCAATCCTTCCAGAACAGTCCTTTACATTTATTCCTGGAGCAGGATTGTACTGAACAAGATGTAGCTCCTGAAGGAGACTGCAGCCACCTCATTTGTAGTCTGGCAAGTCCCTTAACCCGACCAGCCCTGGATAATTACCAGGAACCATCCTTCCCATCACTAGCTTGTTGCCAGGTGTGTGGGTGTGGCAGAGCGCCAAGGGCCAGCTTCTCCTATGCAGCTGCAGAGCTAAAGCTCTAGCTCTCTCCTGGTTCCAGTTCACAGTTACACCAAACATTAGAACAGAGCTGGGTTGTTGTTGTTGGTGGTGGTTTTTGTTGTTGTTTGTTTTGTTTTTTAACTCTGCCTCCAAGTTTCTGGAGGGAACGAAGGACAGCACCGGGTTCAGAAAGAGTTCTGTTCATGTTTAATCCTTGTCTCACCTTGGTCCTGACGTCTGGGGATTTACCTCAGCATTGTTCCTGCGTCTTACCCTTTGAGTCTGACTGAACAGAGAAGGAGGCTTGTGATGTTCAGCACACGTTTCCGTTCAAGACAGAGAACAGCGGCGAATTAAACATTAGATTAAGCATTGTCAGGGTTGGGCTTCTATTTTGGTGGGACAGAAGGAAAATAAGACCAATGAGATATGTGGGTGACGTTCTGCTCAGGCTTATGTAAATAATATATGAGTGCTGCAAAGGAGAGGAGGTAAGGCAGAAAGGTTCAGAGTGTTCCTGGGGAGGGAAGTCAAAGACTGTATCAAAGAGGAAAGTGACAGTTGGGAGGTGGTGGTGCACGCCTTTAGTCCTGGTGTTTGGGAGGTAGAGGCAGGCGTATGTCTGTGAGTTTGAGACCAGCAATGTCTACAGAGTGAGTTCCAAGACAGCTAGGCTACACAGAGAAATCCTGTCTCAAAAACTAAAAATGAGAGAGAGAGAGAGAGAGAGAGAGAGAGAGAGAGAGAGAGAGAGAGAGAATGACATCCAGGAACACCATATGCGTTTGGACTAGTCTCTCCTGACTTTTGTGCTCTAGCCTGCTTGGTTTTATCAGAGGGACTGATGTCTTGCTGTAAGTGTGTAGCGAACACCCAAGGAGTATTTGGAATAAAACACTCAAATACTTCATCCGTGTGAAGCATGGTGATGGGACGGGGCAGCGATGCTTCAAAGGTAAATTACAAGGCCTTCAGTCCAGAAACTTCTACAAAATACTCCAGCACGCCTCTGTTCTTTCACTGACTGGGCCTACTTTCATTTGGTTTGCTGTCAGACTCTAATGTCAGTAGAAGAATATCTCACATGCTTATGCTTTTTTCTTAAACAACAGCGAAAGTACTGTTATATAATGAACTGAATAAGGGGGTGGGGCAGGGGAAGAGCAGAGAACCTTTTATCATCTATACCTACCCAAGACATCAAGACATCAAGAGCTGTCAAGTTTTGGCTGGATCCCAACCTCAAAGTAGCCCGGAGAATACTTTGGCTGTGTGTCATTGGGCACATTGAGTCGCTTCTCTGGTTTCTGTCACTGTACATACATTTAGCTCTCAAAGCCAAATAAGCTTTGGGATTCATTACACAGTTGCACACTACTTAGTCAAACGCTAACAACCATCAGGAGAATGGTTCTCTGGTCCAACACAGAGGGAGTCGATATAGAAGCTCGCTGCTTCAGGGTTAGGGATTTCCCATCACAAAATGACATTGAACTTGTATTTGACTTTCAGATTGTGTTGGTTGAACTTAATTGCTAACTTGATGGGAGAGAGAGAAAGGGAGAGAGGGAGAGACAGAGAGATGAGGCATGGGGGTGGGGAGGGGGAAGGAGAGAACTCAGGGCGTGTCTGTTTACCTGAGGAGAGAAGACCCATCCTGAATATGAGCCAGATGCAGTCTGACTAACCCTGATTCTTCTGCTACCATGCCTCATCTACCAGGATAGACCGTGCATACCTCAAACTGTGAGCCAAAAGAAGCCCTTCCTAACTTAATTGCTTTTCTCAGGTATTTTGTTACAGATATGCAAGCAAACTGCCAGTCTGTTACATACATCCTAATTACTCCCAATGGATTCTCCTAGGGCTCCAAGGGCTGAAAAGCCAGAAATTCCTTTCAGATCTTCAAGCCAAGGAAGTTTAGCTCAAAAATTTGGGAAAATCAGGTGACATCTGGATTTTTTAAAAATTTTTATTTATTTTTTATTTATTTTTCTTTTTTCTTTTTTCGTTTCTTTTTTTTTTTACATCTGGATTTTTTATGTGAAAACTTTTTTTTTTTTTTTTAAATCTGCACATTCAGTTAAATCAGCAAAAGCTCAGTGCATGGACCAAATGAAAGGGGCTATGCTGGCTACTCTGTGGACTCTTTTTCAACCATTATGTAGGTGAGGAAATGAGTCTCCCTACTCCCACCTGAAGAAGAGACAGATGGTTCTCGTCAAGGCTGTGTAGCTGAGATTTCTCAGAAGGTATGGTGTTGATCACCTTGGATGTAAGGAGCTGGAGATGCGAGCCGGAGAGTCAGCACAGGGCAGTTGGCCAGTTATCTACGCCTCCAGCCTCTCATCTCGCTCCGAGACTAGCATATCCTAGTTGTCTCACATACTCGACAGAGGAAAGGTGTCATGAGAAATGTTGAGAAACACTTTCAAGTGAGAGGGCACGATCCACAACTGTGCAGACAGGATACGGAGGACACAAACCCCACAAATTACTGTGAGCCTCAGCGTGTGTCACTCACTGGAAAAGGTGAGGTATGTAATTCTCTCCCAGTTCTTTGCATGTTTGAATATTTCACCTTCTTCAGGTTTCAGCTCAAATATCTCTTCCTCAGAGAACATTGCTGGACAAGACATCCCCTCTGATGAAGCCTGCCTCCCCTGTCTCCATCTCTGAACCTCATTCTTCTGTCCCACATATTAAAATGTATAAGGATTATATTTTGTAAAGGGCTAGCTCCCCTTATGAAACACAGGCTCCACGAGGGCAGGGACTTCATACACTGTAGTTGCTCAGCAAATAGGCTGAATGTTTCTAAATATTTCCTTGAAAGAATTTTGAGCAATCCTCTAAATTTCCTTGGACTATTACCACTATTATAAGGATGAGGTGAAATTTCATTTTGAGAAAGAAGTGGTTAAGAGCAAAAAATTGGTGCACAACCGGTGAGTTTTATGTTTCCTGTACCCATTTGCAAATTATCTGCAAAGGAACCAAACCTATTTTTAAAGATCCCTGCGCCTCGCAGCTCTTGGAGATGACATCAGAGAACCCCAAGTTCCACGTCCCAAGCCGAGCCTCGTGGTCCTCGAAAACTTCAAGCCCCAGGATGCAGCGCGGCATGGGGAACCCAGCGCGCCCCGCGCGCGGCGGCGAGCCACCACCCTGGAACTAGGAAGACACCCGATTCCTTTGCCCGCCACGCCGTCGGGCGCGCGCGGAGCCTGTCGGGACTTGTAGTGTTCGCGTTTGGGAGTGCCGGCTCCGGAATCTCAGTCGCTGTCTGGTCGGGTAGAGGCAGCGCGTGCACGCGTGCGCAGTGCGCGGGCGGGCGGTCGTGGGCGCCGCTCCCGGCAGCTGGGTGCCTGAAGGAGCCGGGACCGCGGTGGCGCGGGTACTCCGGGCGGAGGCCGCGGTAAAGTGGGGCATGAGGCGTGCAGCTTGGGTGTGCGTGTGTGGAAGGGGAAAGCGGAGCGAGGGATGCGAGGCTGAGGCGAGTGTGAGGCGGCCACCGGCAGCTGAGGGGGCGCGGGGCCGCGCCTCCTCGCGCGTCCGCGGGCGCGCACACCTGGGCGAGGCCGGGCTCACCTGTGCGCGGGCTCTTCTGCGCTTGAGACCCGCCCTGCGGGTCCCCGCCAAGGCCCACAGCCCCTAGTGTCCTCGCTGCGGTCGCCGCGGCTCGGCCCCTGTCCGGGATCCCGGTGGCGACGCCTGTCGAAGCGCCGCGCCTCCAGGGCCGTGTCCGCCCCATCCCCGCTGCTCGCTCCGGCACAGCCCCGCTTCCCCGCGTGTGCGGACAGCGAGTGGCAGGGTTGGGAGTGCCCTGACCAAGGTCACGCGGGTGGGACCCGAGAGCAGCCTGAACTCTGGGCGCCGGACTTGGAGGAGGGCTGCCTTGCTCGGCTGGTAGTTCCTTTCGGATGCTTTCTATTGACCCTCCCGGGAGAGCGTCCGGGGAGAAAGTGGTGTCAGGTTGAAAGCGCCCTGGTGTTCCTGGTGCTTAGCCTTTGGTAGAATCTTCGTTCTCCTCGACTCCCAAGCTGAGGCTGGACCGAGAGCCGAGAAAATTCAGAAACTAATCTTGTCCGGGGCCAAGTCCCGAGGACAGGTTTAAGGAACAGATACTCAGGTAGTTTATGGCATTCCGTTTTCTAGTTCGCCTTCCGTTCTTTCTAATACTCGGTTGGATGAGTTGGTCGTTATCTATTTTAGTAAGATTTTCTGTACTCTCATGAAGTCGTGTTGCACTTTGTAAATTAGTTTTCTAAGTAGAAAAGCTTATTTCCTGTGTGTTTAATAACCGGAACAAATAGCCCACTCCAAGGTTTATACCATTGTCTTACGACTGTAGAGCAATCTGCTCTCTAGCTTCCAGGCTTTCTACGTTGACGGCCACTGGACGAATCTGCAGCGAAGTTTAGGAGAGTGTTAAGTGACTCAGACTCTTTGGGAGTAAAATGAAAAACCATTTTTAGTTTACAGCTGGAGTTAAGGAACTACTATTTCAAAAATAGTAACACGAATTTTGAATACAGTGCGTTTTAGTTTTTCATACCAACAAACTTGCGGCGAAGCATTTTTCCTCAAATTTAAATATTCCATATTTTGGACCATCTTTTCATACGGAAAGTTAACTTTATTTTTAAAAGCTGAGATACGTTTAAACAAGAATATTAAGTCAGGCAGAAATCAAATTAATAGCTTATAGTGTTATAAACTCTATCCTGTGCCAAATGTCAGATTTCTTCTGAAAAATAACACTGTGTCAATGGACTTATTGTGAATCTGTGCTTGTAGTAAAGGGTCAATAGCTTGCCACAGCAGGGAAGTGATATACTTGTTGCCTTCAGTCTCCCTTTATCTTGTTGGCTTGTAGTTTCACTGTTGCTGTTGGGGGTTGGGGGCGGGGAAAGCAGGAGGTTTGTATCTTTTTTCTGTTTGGGTTTAGCAGTGTAGCAAAATAGGAAAGACTGTGCTGTGTACATCTGTTTGGCGGAGACTGTGACAGTGGGACAGGATAAGTATACAATTGTGAGGAAACGGCCATGAGTTCATAAGCAGGAAGGACCTTTTTAGAAGTATTTAAGGATGTTAAGAATAGCATTGGATTCTTTAAACAGTTACTGTGGGCAGTAGTCAAAGATAGGATAAGATGCCTCGGGCAACGCCTAGGAAGACACTTGGGAAAGGTGGTAACGCATATCTTTATGTGGACTTTGCTGCTGAAAAACTGACTGCTGGGCCTAAGGCTGAATGAACGTTCTTTACTGTTATGCTACTATTCAGATTGTAAATCCTGCTCTCCCCCTTTATAATTTGTAATCCAGAAGGGAATCTAAGAAATAATTTACTAGTATAATTTAAATCAGACTTTAACATGGACATGTTTCGTGGTGTACACTTGTTCTTGTTTACATAGCTCTGTAATGTAAGAATGAGGAAGATGGCTTTTTGGTGGGGCGTAGTGACTTCAGATGTGTCAGAGGCTTTGACTAGAAAGTTTCAAGGTTGTAGCAGTGATGCTTTAAGCATCCAGTAGTTGCCAGCTGCTAGCTGAAGATATACAAATAGTCACCTCCCACAGGCCTGAGCAGTGTATTTTTTGGCATATCAAGACTTTATTTAAAATTTCAAAAATTGGCTGGGCAGTGGTGGTGCACACCTTTAGGGTTTCTCTGTATAGCCTGGAACTCACTCTGTAGACCAGGCCAGCCTCGAACTCAGAAATCCGCTTGCTTCTGCCTCCCAAGTGCTGGGATTAAAGGTGTGCGCCACCACCGCCCGGCTCTTATTTGTTTTTTTTATTCATTTATTTCCACCATTTGTGTAGTAGCATTTGAGAACAGATTGACCTGTATATGAAATGACTTGATGGGGCAGAAACATTCAGGAGCTTTAGAAGCTTGCCTACAGTGCTCAGTTATTCTTAGATATATTCATATGGGATGTTTTCATATAAGAAAAAGATACCCTGTTGAGGCTTCTCAGCACTTGGGAGGGAGTCAGAGGCAGATGGGTCTCTGTGAGTTCTAGGCAGGTCTGTCTACATAGTGAGCTTCAGGGCTCAGGATAGCTAGCCAGAGCCACATAATAGAAAAAGCTTGTCTTAAAAAGAAAGACAAAGAAAGAAAGATGTCCTGTTGATAACTTGCTGCATAACTAGAACTCTTTCAATTCAAGAGTAACTAAACAATTTAAGGATTAGTAGTTTTCCTGGGAGGTTCTGTGTGGTAAAGAATGTGTGCATTTGTGACTCCTGGACTATATTTAAATGAACATTTGATGAGCCATTAGACAAACTGAATAGCTTTGCTCCCTCCCTCCCTCCCTCTCTTGCTCCCTCCCTTCCTTACTGTTACCTCCCCTCCCTTCCCCGCCCTCCCCCTCCCCTCCCTCCCC